GACGATATATCTACGAGTCAGAGGTTCAAGCGACATGAAACCTTAATAAGAATTAAACAAACATCTTTTTCATTGCTTTGTCATTTACAATAATGAGTGTAAACCCTGAAATTTTTTGAAAATTATTTTATCATTCACTATCGATAAGTATACAATATGAGATTTATTTTCTATGTTATTGTATATTCTATAGATATTAAAGCTAGGTCGTAGTAAATGTGCTTTTTAGAAACATTGCTTCTCCTAATTACGTTCGAAATGGATCTTGAAATAAAAAAAAATCGTTTAAAAAAAAAAAAAACGTACAAAATTAACTTTTGTAAAAGCATCATACTTGTTATCTAATGAAAAATTAAAAAATAAACAATTACTAAAGAAAAATTTTTAAAAATACATTCACTACGACGTATCTTCAAGTTAAGTAAAAGAAATAATGTTAATGTTTCCTGAAAATCTCATTGTAACAGTAATATTAATTTATAAAAATAAATGAAATGTAACATTAAAGGAATTTCTTATAATGAGAAGTGATTGCTAGCGTTTGTAGTTTGGCACATGAGTTCATTTTTTTTCACCACGCATGTGGAATTGAAAGAAAAATTTAATATTTTTTAAATAAATAAATCATGCACAATGAAAAATATAAAACGCATTTGCTTAAAGTTTAAATTAAAAAACGTTAACAAACACGACCATTAAAGACTTGTTTTTAATTTAATTTTATTTAAATATATATACATACGTATTTTATTTTTTGTTATTTTCTGAAAATTTATTTTTAATTATGTAGCCGACAGAAGTACACTATTAATATTTAAAAATAAATACTTTTAAAGCGTACACTTTTGAAGTTGAAACTATTTATTGATGTTTTGATTTATTTTGAATTTCGCGCTTTGAGTAATTTGACTACAAATTATTGTACTGTGAATGGATAAGTGAGGGCGCAACTGTCTGCCACCTGAATTCCGGCAGGCATTTTCTCATTAACAAACAGATGCATCATTGTTAGTGACGCTTGTAAAAAAGTTAAATGGGACTATACTGAAAATTGTAATAAATTGTTACTTATGGATCAAACTAAAAATAATCTGGATCATGGATATAAAATGAATGTGCACGTCACCGCAATTGTGAAGAATTCAAAAGAAGATGAAATAAATAACGAGGTTGAGATGCCATAGAAATTACAATGTATAATGAAATCTTTATACAAAATTTTCGGCCACTTTGAAACGTCGAATTGAATAAAAAGTTTTCAAACTTATTAAGGGCTGATGACAATATATAAATCTTACAAGTTGGACTCATTATCCTGATCAGGATCATCTAATAATGATTTTGAATTTGCCGGAGAAAGAGCCTGAAAAATGGCTGTCATATCTAAGGATACAATTTCATCACAGAGAAGTATTTATAAACTTAATTAATTATATAATTCAACTAAAAAGTAATAAATAATTTTCAATAAGGCTGAGGTTCAAGATAAAGTGAGTAATAAGGAAATTAATTTTATTGTCAAAAAGCGTAGAGTACTCTTTGAGACGTTTTATTGATTCAACTTTCAAGAATATTTGTGAATAAAATATTTATAAAAATTAATATCAATCATATCACTTGTTTTTATTTTAAACTTATTGAAAATAATTTTTACAAATATAAATGTGAGAGTTGAAAATTGTATTTGACACAATAAAATTCAAATCCGATAAGTAAACGTATTTATACATTAAGGTTGTACGGACACTAATGCACTTTTGAAGATCAGAAGCTAATTTTTTGATATGTTATGAATTGCTATCTCATACGTCTAAATTAATTTTTTTGAATAGATCTGTCGAAGGGTTATCCTTTAATAAATTATTAAAAAATTGAAATTTAACATGTAGCCTATAGAGACTATTGGCGGATTGCACATATATCGATTTATGTGACTGCCTCATAGGAAGATTAAAAAACAAAAAACTTCTATTTCAGTCAATCAACTTTCGTAGAATACGTTAAAAATAAAATGAAAATTTTCTGCCGAAGGCTTTTAAAGATATTTTAATGCAAAAGATGAGAAATTCACGAAAATTTCAGGCCGACATATTTAAAAATAAACAAACCACGTGATTCAGCGCAGTGTGGCAACGTTGCACAGAATAGAACGCGCGAATTTTGAATTTTAGTAATTCCTGTGTATTTTTATTGGTTATGTTTTTCAACTCAACACTACACAGTGAGATAAATATAAACAGCTGTTAAGTGCGGTGTTGTCAGGTCCAAGTTTTGTGAAAAAATACTTGAGTCAAACGTTGACTATTTATTGTTGTTGTTAATTAAATTATTAAATTATTTTATTTAATAATAATGTAAGGTAACGATTAAATTATAGTAATGAATTTTCGTATTTAAATTTTTAAGTTTAATGAAAAAAAAATTTAGATTCTACTATGACTTACGGGGTACTGTCCGTGCAACCTTAATAATTATAGATGGAATTCAACCAGGTTCGAGTAGTCAATATTTGTATTTCAACTATTGATATTTTTGTCTCGATAATGGGCTAGTTTTCCAATTGACGATCAAAATAAAATTATGATTACCAGTATAGTTATATATGAGAAATACATGAATATGAATTAGAAATGGATAAAATTTTATTTCAGATTGAAAAACTGATGCTGAAAGATTTTTAATTTGTGAAAAAGCAATCGATTATTTTAATAAAACATGAAAATTTGTTACTTGTTAACAAATGTTGATTAACGTTTAATAAATCGTATTTAATAAATAATTTATTTATTGTTAATAAATATTTATTAAATCATATGATGTTAGAAAATCATTTATTAACAGTTAATAAAGCTTATTAAATATAAATGAATTCTTCTATCAGTGTATATAATTTAAATATTTTTTAACAATACTTTCTTGTATTATTTAATTGCGTAGCAATTAAATATTACAAGAAATTTGTAAAATTGTGAATACGAGTGAGTATTGGCTGTCAGTTAAATTTTATAATCATTATAATCACTAGCTGTTGTCCGCTCGCTCCGCTGAGAACTATAGAATTGTATTTTATGATCTAGAATTGAAATTACCTTTTTTAAAATAAATATTATTTAAAAAAAAAAAACAAAAATGTCACTAGTAGGGGCATGAAAATTCTCTAGCGCCAATTACCGCCGATGTTAAAAAACCTTTTTTATATAGTTAATCTGTTTACGTTCATAAATGTTCTGTCTGACGGTGCAGTTATTAACAATCTCAATACGAGTCTTTTGAAAGTGATCAAGAATATATTTTTGCTTAAATAATTTTAAATTCAATTATTGTTAATTTTATAATTCTTTTTCTAATAAATGTGTTTGTAAATAATACTTTTGTGTTTATAATATATTTATTGAAAAATTTAACGCATACGCGTTAGATCCGCCACTAAAGGGGTCAGTAGTATGCCACTATTTGGATCAGGGGATTATTTGCCCCGACATTAATGGGGTCATTTAAATAATTATAAATAATGGTGAATTTAGAAAAATTAAAATTTTAAAAATTAATTATGTAAGTTGAAACATTAATGAAGGCATTAAGTACAAAAAAATTCAATATTTGTACTTTAACTATAATAATAAAATCATTCTGTTAACCCCCTTCCTTATAGTGCCACTAGTGGGGTCTTTTACCTTATATTTAAATAAAATAAAATTAAAAACAAGCCTTTAATGGTCGTATTCGCTAATGTTTTTTTAATTTAAGTTTTAAGCAAATACGTTTTATGTTTTCCGTTGCGTATGACTACATATAAATAAATAAATTACAATGTCATTTGTTTCTTCAATTTATTTATTTGAAAAATATTAAATTTTTCTTTTAATTCCATACACGTGATGGAAAAAAATAAACTCATGTGCCAAATTACAAACGCTAGCAGTCACATCTAATGATAAAAAATTTTTTTAACGTTAAATTTCATTTGTTTTTATAAATTAATATTACACAGAAAAAAAATTTACTTGAATCAAGTAAATAATTTTGAAAAATTTCATTTTCTTGATTTGAGTAAAAAAATTCTTAAACTAAGAAATTTTTCTTGATTTATGTAAATTTTACTTAATTCAAGTATTTTTCGTCTTGATTCAAGACAGTGAAATTCTTCAAAATTATTTTCTTGGTTCAAGAATTTTTCTCTTAATTCAAATTAAATTTTTTTTTAGTGTACTCTTACAATGAGATTTTCAAGAAACGTTAACATTATTTCTATTACTTAAAGATACGCCGTAGTGAATGTATTTTCAAAAATTTTACTTTAGTAATTATTTATTTTATAATTTGTAATTAGGTAATGTAAAACTTTCGCAAAAGTTAATTGTACGCCTTTTTTTTTTTTTTTTCTCAAAAACTTTATTCGAAATAGTTTCATTTTTATTTGAATACTAAACATTGTCTATTATCTTTCATTTATTTTTTTTAATGCCTAAAATTTATGGTTCAATGACATAGTAATCCTTATAAGTTAAAAAGGAAGACGCGTGTATAGCTCGTGATTTTGATTTTTAATGAAGAAATAAATTATATTACGAGAAAATTTAAAGAAAATAAAATCTATCGGCAATTCTGTACCTTGAGTAATCACGTGAATCGGATATTTACTTTTGGTTAAAAATAAATAATATTAATGATTCATATGAGTTTCTTAGGGCCAGTTTTTCAATCCGGGATAAAATTTTATTCTTTTTGCTAAAATACATCTATATATTTTAGCTACGTAGATATACTGACAATAATAATGATATCTCGGATAAAATTTTATCTTGGATTGAAAAACTGGACCTTTAATTTTTACGTTCAATTAGCTGTAGGCTTATTTGTTATTATCAATATAAAATAATTTATTAAATTGAATGTAGGTTACCTGTCATTTCTTCTGAAATTTAAAATACATAGACTTAACCCAAAAAAATTTTTTGTATTTTACTAAAAGTAAATTTACTGAAGTATCAATCAACAAAATGAGTGAAGGTAAAAAATTATAAATATTATTACATAAATAACAAGATTAAACCTAATTATTTCTAATAAATTAGAAAATGAATCAGCTACGGCGAAGTTGGATGAAATAGGAAAAATAATAACACAAGTTCAGGAACAAAATAGCAAAGTGAAAGCAAATTTAAGAGAACTGAGAAAAAAAAGTGAAAGCATCGAAAAGAGAATAAACATCGAAATCGATAAGAACAACGAAATGATCAGCAAAGCTCAGGAACTGGGGGATGACCAGAAGAAACTCGACCAGTTAATCACCGACCAGATGAATAAGATTTCTGAAAAGTTTAAAGCTCTAGAACGGGTCGAACAAGAGCTCCTAGAAAAAGAACAAACTATACAAAATTTAATAAAAGAAGTCCAAAAATAATTTTTCTTACAAAAAAAAAATTTTTTATTTTATAAAAATATTTGATATTAAACTTAAAACAATAACTTAATAACTAGTTTTTTTTTTTTAACTAAATTTCTGAAAACATTTTTTTTTTTCATTCAAGTAAGTTTTTTATCAGTTCTTTTTTTATACAAAAAATAATTCAATATTTATTCTTAATTATACATTTATAAAATTATAAACAAAAACTCACTTTATCATTTGAAAAAAAGAAATTCGCAATATCCTAAATTTAATACTTAAATTAACAAATATATGACTTTTTTAGGTTTATTTAACAACTTAATAGGGTAAAAGCACCAGTTGACCGGTCACCAATTAGTTGACCGATGTATAAAAAAGTTAATTAATTAATATTTTACAAGGGTTTTTTTTTCTTAAAGTATTAAAATAAAAAAATATGATATTTAATCATCATAATAAAAAATTACGCAATTAATTGCGCAGTGATTATAGCTTTAAAAAAATATTCTGAGTTTGTTTACAACGCAACCAGCCATAAAGCGGTCAAAAATAACTACCGTACAATTGGAGAGTGAGTGCATTTCATCATTAATTTAGTGATATATATCGGCATAATATAAAATATTTTAATTTTATTATGTTAATTAAAGATCAGATTCCAACTGTTTTGAATAAATAAAGTTAAATTATAAGTTTTAATATTATTTTAAAACCGGTCAACTATTGGATCCGTCAGAAGCCCATTACCCAGTAAAAAATTCATTCGGTCATTGATAAGACCCTCTGATTTTATCACAATCCAATTAATCACCGTATAATTATAATACTAACTTCTTAACTCCAAAATTAAATCTGTCAAGTGTTATAAAGTACTTTAGTCATTCAATATTTTATAAATATAAAAATAATCATTATAAAAAATGTATATTTACAATTAAAATAATACTTAAAATCTTTTTTGAGTATTAAATTTTATTTTGTTCTAATTTTTTTAATGAACGGTTATATCAAAGAACGAATCATTAGAAGAAAAAATTGCTAAGCAATTAAAAAAAATAAAAAAGAGTTACAAGCTAATAAAAAAGCTTTAATTGAAAAAAAGAAGGAGAAGAATAAAAAAATTTCAGTGAAGAATGAATCAGAAGAATTATCGTCATCAAAATGAATTTGTGATTATTTGTGACCTAAAAAAAACAAGCTAGTAAAAAAGTTTTAATTGAAAAAAAGAAGGAGAAGAATTCTATAAAATTTCAAGTGAATCAGAAGAATTATCGTTATTAAAATGAATTTGTGATTATTTGTGATCTAAAGAAATGTGACTATATGTTAATTATTGCTATTTTTATATTATTTTATAAAAAAGTACGGTTTAAAATTATATTGTATGTTTAGTTTTGTTAAAGATGTCGTTAATACTCCAAAAGTACTGCATAAATTTAATTACATACATGTAGTTTACAAAATTACTTATAATTATTTCAGCGGTCAATTAATTGGAGAACGGTCGGTCATTTATTGGGTTTCTTCGGTCAATAATTGGTGATTTTAGTATTTCAAGATTCAAATAACAAAATTAATATAATTTTTATTATAAATAGTTATTAATTATTATTAATTAAGTATTTAACTTTAATAAAATCCATTAAAAATTGTTTTTAGTATGTTAATAGATTTTTGATAGCTTAGTAGAGAAAAAGAAAACCTTAATCGGTCAATAATTGGTGCCTTTACCCTACTCAAAAAATGGTAATAAAAAATTTTTATACAATAATAGGTTAGTAAAAAATTTCAAAAGTTTTCAAAAGTCTGTCAATTCCAATACTTGTTATTGGAATTTGATTTTTTTCCCAGAGTTTCATTCGCCGAGGACATCAATTTTTCCCAGAAAAGTTTCTCAAAATACTCCTCACTCGCCTTACTTTTATCATAGAAGTTTACCAAAAAGGGATGTTTCCGAACATCAGCTTCAAAATCCTCAACCCCAGCAACATTTGCATTCACTGTGTTGTAAAATTCCGACCTTATTTTCGGAACTTTTAACACTAATTTGATACCATGGTTCTCTTCTGGATAAGCCATCCAATGTCTGTAACAATCCGTGATGTCGACCGAAAACCACCCACTTTTGAAGGCTGGAAGAAATGTTGAGTTTACGTACACCAACTCGTCGGACTGATTTGCAAGTATTTTGTATACAGTGACATTGAGATTGAAATACTTTCGGTGAGGGATGATTTTTTCCTTTGAAAAATCGCGGTAAAATCTGAGCTCACTGTGCACCAAAGTGTCTTTTATTCCAAACTCTGAAAACCACATAGAATTCAGTGATAAGGGTTTTATAACTTTCTCGCTAAACGCTCTGTTTGGATCACGAGTGATCTCAGCCACTGGAATGGTATCGTTGAATCGTGAGTATAAATCTCCAATCATACTGTCGTAAGATTTTTCAAAATTCTCTGGGATTGTTGTAGGAACTTTTTGCACTTTGTTCATCCATTGAATCATGAACTGGATCGCAGACTCGTCGGATTTTTTGATAACATTGGACCTGTCTTCTGAAGATTTTGGATCTGGAATTTCTTCTTTTGGCACTTCAACGACGTAACTTTCCACTATCACTCCCAACAAAAAGGTTAAAAACATTAAAACGATTGTTTTATCCATTGCAACTAGGTTTCAATTTCAAACTCCACTGATATCAACTTCAATAAATTTTGGAAATATTTTTCCGATACTTGTGCTTACAGCAAGAACTCTAGGGCACGAATGACACGATTGGCATAAGAGGGCTAGTTATGAAGACTTGCCCCCGGTGATTAGAGTTTAGATTGTCTAGACAGTAGACAGTACGGTCATTAAGAGACTTCAAGTGCAATGGAGATAATTGTTTTTTGAAGTAGTTAATCATCCTGGCGCCAGATTGATATTAGGTATTTATCGTCTGGAATTTTTTTGTCTATACTAAAATTTGGTAATTCATAGCTTTAATATAAATTAATTTTAAATTACTTAACTTAAGTTAAGAATAACTGAAAAATGTTGGTACTAAAATTAACACACTTGTAATAAATCTGATATATTTCTTAGAAAACAAATTATTATAAGAAAAACTGAAAAAAAATTTGATATGAAGAAATTAAAAAACAAAAATTATGAACACAATTTTTGGAAAAAATTTTTAAAATTTTAATTGATTTATTCTAATCATAAAATATTATTATTTTCTAATGATTTTAACTATTTAAATTAAAAATTAAAATAATTGTTTAGTTTCACGGTGACCTAGTTTTTTGGTTTATAAAATTGAAAAATAAAAATTTTCAAATTATTCTATTTCACGGCGAATTTACGGTAATAATCATAATAATATCTAAAAATAAATTTTTAAAACTTTTAAAAACCAACAATTGAAAAAAAAAATATTATAAATATAAATTATTTTTCTTCATTTTTTTTTTAAATTTTTATTTCACCCGAAAAATGAAAATTTTTGAAAAAAATTTTTTATTTTTCATAAAAGTAAAAAAAAAACTAAATAATTGAAAAAATTCAAAATATTATTTTTCTAAATTATAAACTAAACAATTACCAAAACTAATTTTCAAATGTAAATAATTTTTTTAACAGATGTTAATATTTTTTTCTGGGCAACAACTTGAAGAATGTAGTGGATTGAAAATACCAAAGTAGATAAGAAAAAAAATGTTAACAAGGCCTTGACTTGTAATCTTGAGAAGCGTAAAAAATTTCCAAGCAAATTATCTCGAAAAAATGTGTGTGGCATAGCAGGACGAAATTATAAGGTTCCGCTAGTATAAGTAGTACGGCTCAAATCTCAACAATCTGAGACACTGATGTTAAAAATGATAACAAAAACACCGACTACTATATATCAATACAAAATGTAAGGCTTTTTCCATTTTCCGTACATCATTAAAAACTCATTCATCTCAGGTACTTAATCCCGCGGTCATTTCGGCTCCTTTAGCGACAGACACGTCATTTATTTTTGTTGTATTCTACCTGAGCTTTCCATCAGAATGTGAATGAGTAAAAAAAGTAAGTGGTGGTAAAAAAAAAACATCTCTAAATTAACAATTTATTATTTTACTACTCAATCCACTTAATACTTGTGTAATACGGGAAAATTCTTTAAGATAAACTAATTTATCCTTTATTGATGTATTACTCACTCCGGAAAGTTTTGGAGCTACTAAAAAATAAAAAAAAATATGACCTTTTAATGGACTTAATTTTGGTCTTTATTTACACCATTAGTTAAGTTATTTATATAAATACAAACATCTTTATATGTACATATTTTTCTTTATTTCCTTGAGGAAAAAAATTACAATTTTTTGATTGTTAATAATAAATAATAAATTACTTTTTTTTTTAAGTACAGTAAATTATATTATCAAATGTTTTTATTTTATCAGATAAATACAAAATTAAATACCAATTATGTTAGAGGATTTTTATTACAAGACAGTTAAGATAGCATGAGTACTTTGCATTGTTTTTGAAGTAATTGTTTGAAAATTATTTGTTTTTAAAGCGCATGTAAGATAAGATTGTAAAATTAGTCAAAAATAAATTTGAACAATAAATTTTAATAACACGCTACGCGCGCGCCTTAAATTTGGTAATTATAATTATTTAGTTTCACGATTCATATTATACTTTGACCCATAAAAATTATATTCAAATTTTTTTTTGAACAATCATATTTTTGTTCTTCTCATTCATCAAGAATAGAATAATTTTTTTATTAAAAAAATATTGACATTTTTGAAAATTTTTTTTTTCTACATTATTTATTTTCACGAAGAATACGAAAAAAAGGTAACACTACACGAAAAAAATTAATTATACTACCTACTATACAAAAATAGTAACTCCCACTATCTAAAATGGTAATAAAATTAATTAGTAACAAAATAATAGGTTGTATCATTGACAATTGTAATAGTTACTATTAATAATATCAACAATTACTATCGAAAATAATA